GTTCCCCTGGAGACGGCCCCTGAGGCGCCCGGGCCGGGCGGGCGGTGCGTGCGGGGCTGGGCCGGGGGACACGGGGCGTGACACGGGCGGGATGCAGAGGTGACCTGAAACCCCTTTACCGGCACTGACTGCCGCTGTGTGTGCAGCGCTGAGCCCGTTGGGTAGGCAGAGAAGGTTCCTAGAGAATTTGGGTTATTGCAGGCGAGTAACTTTAGAAGGACATGATTTTGGAATTCCTCTGTTCGAGAATTAAAGATTGGCTCCCAGTTCTCTGTTTGAGAAGTGTGTGGTGATTTAGCAATTGAATTTGTATTAACGCAAAGTCACATGTTATTCCTTAGTGCTTGGTCCAAAAAGAAGAGAAACGACCACAAGCAGCAGCAGCACACAGATTGTCCTTTCCAGTCTGCTTAGGCAGTAGCAATGGAGACTTCTGATGAAGACCTTGGTGTAATCATGTGAGTATGGCACGTTCTGTGTCAGATTTTCAATAAGCTAATTGCTGATTAAAATACCTTAATAGGAATATAATTATATGAGTGAATTTACATCACAGAGATTAGCATGTTCTGCCTCTTAGGAGGACAAGAGTTCCAGGAGGGAATAACATCAGTGCAGAGGTTAAGTGTCACTGTGGTTGAGTGTAGCACCAAGTAGTCCTTGCTGAGGGATCAAAACAAGCACTGTAAGGCTGGAAATTCATTTTTTTGGTGTTCATTTTAAATTCAAAATTTCTCCTTTTCAGAAGCTTATGTTGTCTTGTGTCACAGATTCCAAGGAGAGACTATTCCTCTGAGTGTGCTCCTGCTAAATGTGACACCTTTTACAGGTGACCTCAGCCAAATGCCACACTGGTAGATGCTAAGATGCTGCCTTCCCCCACATTTATCTAACACTTCTCCTAAGGTCTGTGGCAAAAGGGAACGTGTGCCTGTGCCTTTGTCACTCGTGGATTTAGTTCTTTCAGCCCCAGCTCACACACAGCCCCATGCCTGGGCTGCCCCAGCAGCACAGTGTATGCTGGCCCAGACTGGTGTCAGGGACTTAAACAGCGTTGGTGAGCACGTGTCTCTGCAGGTGTGTGGATGCACGTGTTGTATAGAGAGATGGAACTGGTGTCTTTTGGAACAGTTAAAATTCCATTATTTCCCTTACAGACCTAAACCAGGGTTTAAATTAATACTTTTTCTGTTGCTATTAAGCCATACCACTACTACCAGCATTTATTTGCAGGGGAAAAAAAGAGTGGAAATTATCCCTAGCAAAGTCTGCTGCCCTTGCCTGCCCAGGGGAGCGATGATCCCGCTGCTTGCAGCCCGTGTGTGCTGCCCAGGTGTGTCACCCCGGCCCGGGCTGTGCCAGCCCCGCTCCTGGCCGCGTGGTGCCCTCTGCCGGGATGTTCCAGGCCTTGCCTTGGCTTCCCTCCTCTCCCAACCCTAACGGATGAGGAATGTTGCTAGGACGTGGCTTGCTGATCAGACGCCTTTGTAAATCAAATATCTCTTCATTTTTCCTGGTCAGAATGAGCTGAGTGGCTTGTTATACTCAAGCAGTGTTGGATGAATTTCACTGGAGTGTTACTTAATAGCAAAATAAATTTAATGAGCTTTTTAAAACTTAATCTGAAGATGTGATCTGCTCTGTTTGCTAAAGAAAAATTTAGAAGACAAAGGGACATTTAATTGAATTGAAATGGTGCTTTCATTGATCGAAGCTTATTTTTCTTAAAGATAAATATCCTTGTTTCCTTGAGACTTGTTTCTCTCACATATGAGAAAAGCTTGTCTTTCATCTCCTGGAGAATACAGGAAGAGTTCACCCCCCCACTAAAGATGAGCCAAAGAGATCCTGTGAATTATTTACTGTGTCTGAACAAGCTGCACAGTAATGGCTTTAGCAGAAGGATCCAGACTCCTGAAATGCTGGTACCAAAGGCTTCTTCCCTGGATGACTTGAGATCCATAATGGTGTTTAATATTTGCTGATGATAAATTATCCTTAGGAGATTATTCCATTTATTTGGAGCACATAGGGATGTTCCTTTCTTACGAAAAATACTTCGTTTTTTTCAGTTACATAATACTTACATTTACATTGACTTTCAGTGGTTCCATTCCAAAATACTCTCTAGAATGTCTCCAGTTCTGTGGTCACCATGAAGGGTTAATGCAGGGAAGAGAGCAGAAGGAAAGATGTGGTAGCAGCTGGGATTTGTGGGCTGGAAAAGGCTTAATTTCCTGTTCTTAATTACACTCTTTACATCCTTTTGCTCCAGAACTAGAATTACCTTGACAGTAATGCCAGTAAAACAACATTTATTCTTTTTTGCAATTAGGCACCTTACAGGGGGGAAATACAGTGGAGGCTTGATGAGAGTCTCCATGGAGCATCTCCTCATCAGTGTCATGGATTATTTTGTAGGTTGAAAACAGGAAGTTATTCAGTTATCTTGTCATTACTGGGTTTATTTGTGCTGAGGCTTTTGTGAACACTTCTTTAATTTCTGCTCTGGTTGAAATACATGTTTATGCTGTCCTGTCTCTCTTTGCTTTCAGTTCTTCCACTTCTGACAAGGAGTTTGATGCAGTTGTTGGCTGTCTGGAGGATATCATAATGGGTAAGGGTCTCAAGTAGTTACAGACAGCCACACAGGTGCTGAACATGTTGCAAGCTGCTCTTTTGTTAGTGATATACAGAGCTAAGAGAGCCCCTGCCTGCTCCATGGACGCTTTCCTTTCTTTCTTCCCGTGAACCTCTAACCTGGTAGTTCAGTGAAAAACACACACAAAAGCCTTTTGTGTGCTGTTTGTACAGCAATGTGCTTATGACTCTTGAAAATTAACCTCCAGACCAGTGCAATGCAACACTGCTTAAATAAACAGTGGAGATACTTGTACATCTCAGACAGAAATCAAAGCTTCCCGGGATTTTTATACCCTTTTATAAGGTGGATGGAGAAGACTGTGAGACGTTGCCTTCCCTTCCCCAGCTCTGCCCAACGTGTCTGTCAGGAGGTTCTGATGGTTTGGGTTGGAAGAGACCTTAAAGGTCATTCAGTTCACCCTCTGCCATGGGCAGGGACACCTTCCAGCTGACCAGGGTGCTCAGGGCCCCATCCAACCTGGCCTTAGGCAACAAAAAGTGCTCAGTTCTCAGGACCAGGAGTCAATGTGTGCAGGGAAGCAGCTCACGAGATGCCAAGGCAGAACTGATCCGCTGCTTTGTAAGAACATCACAGACTTTTTGGTCACATCCTTCCCAGGGAGATGTAGATTCTGCAGGCTCAGTTGCCTGTGATGTAGTTGAATCTGGAGAAATGCTAACAGAACTACTTTGGAATGTGTCAGGGTTTGGAAAGGTGAGCCTGGTGTCCTTTAACACTGTGTATGAGTAAACTTTCTGTTCGTTGTTCTGTGGAATTTGGTGGTGACTTACCATGTTCATTTTTATTCTTGTTTCCTTCCACAACTGGAAAAAGAAATCTTCAGCAACTGAAAATTAACCTAGGAATTTCACTAATATTTTTTAATTCAAGGGAAAAAAATTATTTTGAATTCTTGTAGGGATGAAATACTTACTTATTGCAGAAATACAGATGTTTTGCTGCCTGGAGAGCCAGAACAGAAAGGGGCTCTGAGTAAATAACTTTGCTAATCAGTGTAAAGCATGAGGACTGTTTTTGCTAGTACTCCCCCAGCAGCCTCTGTCCTCTCCCAGATGGGTCAGCAGTGCTGGCCTGGCAGCAGCTGTGGTGCTGGTGTGACAGACTCTGCACGTGTGCAGGGCTCTGGGGTTGCAGCAGGGAAGCAAAGCACCAGTGAATGAGGTTTATGTTGCTGAAAGGATGACTAAACTCCTAACTGCATGATGCATTTTTGTTGTGGCCCAGATGATGATTTCCAGTTAATACAAAGGACTTTCATGGAGAAGCACTACCAGGAGTTTGATGACTCAGAAGAAAACAAGCTCATCTATACTGACATTTTTAATGAATATGTAAGATACTTGTTCCTATTTTTCATATGTATTGCTTTTTAAATTTTGATTTAGTCTCCCCTGTATAAAACACTGAGCTTCCATGGAGCACATCCAACATGCTGCCAGCTGTGCTGCCTGCTGTGTCTTCAGAGACACAGTCAGGGTCTGTGAGTAAGAAGGGGATTTTCTGGAGCTTTAGGTTCCTTTCTCATTGTTTCACTTGACATTTTCTAGAGATATTTTGGAAGTTGTGTAACTCTCTCAAATGGAAATTTAGCCTTTTGCTGTAGTCAGTAATGTGTTCATCATGTGTGCAAACAAACCTTGTTCTTTTCCAGATGTATCTCATGTGTCAGACACCTCAATCACATTCTCCATGCAAAACATAATTAAGAAATTAGACCCCTCTACTAGTCAATATCATTAAATGAGTTAAAAATAGTGTGTTACTAGATGCAAATAGTGTTTGTTCTTGCCCATATTCCCAACAAAAACGTTCAGCTCTGTGCTGAGAATAGAACCAGTGATGCCCCACTGAAGAATCTGCAGTTGTGCCCAGTGAGCATAGGGCAGAGTGGCAATAGGGTATCAGTGTGAGGATGCTGTTTTGCAATTTGCTCCTGAGTCCTGTTATGCTGTTACAGTGAAGGTTTCTTTGGGTGTTTTCAGATCACTTTAGTAGAGAAGTATATCGAAGAGAAGCTGCTTGATCGGATCCCTGGGTTTGACATGGTTGCTTTCACAGTGTCATTGGAGTAAGTCTTTCCTCTGCTTTTGGTTGGGGGGTGGCTTATATGCCTCTCAGTTAATTCCTTTTATCTAGATGAAAGCCTGAGTTTGACAGTTCTCCCTTCAGAGAGCAGCTCCTCTTTAATTTAAAACAGAAGTGTTCATTCAGGCAGTGACCGACCACTTTTCTTGCCTTCAGCATGTCCTGCTGCTCTCAATTTCTGAACTGTCACACTGAAATATATTGGGTTCTAAGGGATAGGAAGAAAAATCAGAATGAGAACACTGGAGAGTTTTCGTAGTCATTGTCCCTTTGAAGCCAGACCCTTAAAAGGTTGGGTCTCCTTTATTTCTTCCAGGCACTCCAATAGCCTGGTGGTGTTTCAGAGTCCTTGGATGAAATTCCTTTATTGCCATTCTGATACAGAGAAGAGTTTGGTTTGTCTTAAGCTTCTGCTTTGAGTCACTTTAGCTTAACCGTCTTCATGAAGAGATTGCTTTTGAAAGATCACTGGTTTCCCCTTGAATAAGAAAACCAAGTGTGATTGGGAAATAAGTGCCTTAAAATAACTGAATCACTTTAATCTTTAGTGTTTCTTCAATAAGACATTGGGAAGTTACATCAAAAGCACAACAAAAGCACCGTCCCTGGAGGTTTTTAAGATGAGACTGATGTGGCACTTTGTGCCATGGTCTAGAAACTACAGTAGGGTTGGACTTGATGATCTTTGAGGTCTTTTCCAACCCGGTTGATTCTATGATTCTATGATTCACATAGTGCACACAGAAGACAGGCTGTGTCAGGTGAAGATTATTTTTGTAAGAATTTAATAAATGGACCCCCTCAAAAAAACAGAAACAGAAAACCAATCCTTGACTGCCGAAGTCTTGTTGAGATTTGCTGATGTGGGAGCACAGAGCCTTTCTCCAAACTGTTTTCATAGAAACTCCTCTGCCAAGTATTGCCAGTAGTCAATTAAGGACATGGATGAGCATCTGTGCCTCTTCCCAGCCTCTCTCCCCCCCCAATGCACTGTCAGGCTGTTTCAGTGCCCAAGATAAATAAATAGAGAAATGCTTAGTGAGTGTTGCTGCTGTTAACTTGCTACTCTGGTTTTCAGGGTCTGATGTGATACGCTTAGGTCATGGATTTAGGTAAATGTAGTAATGTACTCAGACTGGAAATACTACATGGTAATATTTGGCTACAGTTTTGCTTTATGATACACCCGTAATAACATTCATGTTTGAATTTTGATATTGTTCTACTTGTCCTTTTGGACCTCATACCATTTTAAAATAACGAGTCTTTCTCACACAGTTTTCTATTTCCCTAACTTTTTCTCTCTTTAGACAGCACAAAGATGAAATGCCAAAGGATATATTTGATCTGCTTCTCACATTTACAGACTTTCTGGCCTTCAAAGGAATGTTCTTGGAGTACAGAGCTGTGAGTATGTCACGTTGTTTGTTTTCATTGCCACAATGGCTGTTGGTTTCGTGTGGCTTCACCTGAGAGTGCCAAAGGTAGAGTGACTGCAGTAGGTCACAGCATTTATTCAGAGGCTGTACCAGGGTCAAAAGGAAAATTGGTTCATTGAGTGGTTTTTTAAACTCAAGCTGCACATTTCATAATTCCTGGAAAACATGACTGAGGCTGGCACGTGGCGCAGTGCCTCAGAAACACGTGCTTTGTGTGTCTGTGAACGCTGATTTCCAGCTGAAAAGAAGGGAACACTTTTTCCCTGCAAAGGTGTCCGAGCACAGGCACAGCTTGCCTGTGAGAGTTTTGGAGTCTCCATCCTTGGAGGTATTCCAGAGCTGTCAGGACACAGTCCTGAGTCACCCTGCTTGAACCAGATGACCTCCAGAGGTCCCTTCCCTCCCTGACCATTCTCTGATTCTGTGATATGTTTTCTTATTTTACAGTTTTTATCCCCAGTCAGTCCAAAATTAGCTTTTTAAGCTTATTTCATTTGTTTTCTCATCCTCTCTGTGCAGGATGGAGAAATAAAGTGTTAATGTTCTTGGATAAGGTTTTTGCTAAGGGAAATGAAATACATGTTAGTGCTCTCCAGTGTTTGTCCAGTCCCATCTGACAAGGAGAAAAAAAGATGCAGTTGTTGTGGCTCTGCCCTTTGCTGCCTCCCCCACCCGTTTGAGGTTTGTGGGAATGGGGCAGGCTGAGGGGAAGGAGTCAGTTTGTGTCTCAGCAGCAGGACGAGTTTCATTTGGGAGTTGCAGTTCTGGGGTCTCCTGAGAGGCAAACCACAGCAGGCAGGTTTCACTAGACCCTGAGCACAGGTGAGCCACTGGGTGGGCACTCCTGGCCAGGTGTGAGCAAGACTCTGACATGGACAAACAGTGGCAGAGAACATCCCCTTACCCCAGGGATTTCTGCACAATCTCTTTGGGTTCACATTCAGTCTTGGATGCTGAAGTGACATGTAATCTTTTACTGATTGGGTGCAGCAAACAGAGTATGTATTGCCTGCTTCATTTTTTGAACTGTTCATTCCAATACAGCCTTGAGTCATGGATTTCTTTTTCTTCCGTGTTTCTAGGAAAAAGAAGGTCGAAGTGTGGACTTAAGCAATGTGTTAGTGGTGACTTCAAAAAACTGTTAAACAACCCAATCTGAAGTGAGTTCTGTTGTCTTTTAAGCAAGGTCTATTGGAATTTCAGAGGCAGAAGGCAGCAGTTAATGCAGTTCCGTTTCCTGAGCCTGCAGAGGCAGATGAGCTGGGAAAACTTTTCCCATGCAGAGCATGCTGCAGGTTTGCAGTGTAGCTCACCGTGCACCCACTTTTGAACCCATTTAAGCTATTTTTATTAACTTCTACAAAGAGGGTGTGAAAGGAAAATCTGCTCTGCCTGGCTGAGCATCATTTCTAGTTCTGCCCAACACCAGCCTATGTCCCTGAGGACCAAAAGGTGGATTTGTGGTGTGCAGCACAGGGAGCAGAGTGGTTCTGCACTCCTCTGAAGTGCTGACCCTTCCTTTGTTCCCAGAGCATTGGCAGACTTGGATTTAATTTTTGAGGACCACCTGCAGCTAATGGGCAAAACTGACTGGCTGGTTAATTAAGTGAACTCTGAGCAGGGTGTGGTGCCGAGCCGGGGGGAGGGAGCAATCCAAGCCTTGGCACCTCCTCCGTGTTCTGGCGGTCTTGGATGCACACCCTGAGTGTGTGTAAAGCAACACAAGGTGAACCCTGTGGACTTGTTCCTTCCACAGCCAAGTGTAACACCCACATGGAGTGGGAAGGGACAGTCACCTCTGCAGTGACATCTCTGCTGCCCCTGCCATGCTGCGTGTGCCACCTGCTCACATGACAAACTTCCTCGTGACAGACTCTGGTGTTGGATTTAGGAATGTTTTTATTTAAAGCATAAAATTTATACTCAGATTGTTAGAAATCAATACAAGAGCAGTTGTGCCTTTGCCTTCGCTTTGCCTCCATCTTTCAGCCCTGCCACCATTCCTGCAGCACGTTAATTGCAATTACTTACACTGTAGCTATGAATGAGCAGCGAGGGGAGCCAGGGCTTGGTTTAGTGAATTTTAGTATTGGAATGTGCCAAGTTGGCTGAGTCCCCTCAGTGGAGCTGCTCCAGTGAGGATCCAGATGACCCTCACAAACAAGAAGGAGCTGCAGCCTCCAGCGAGTCCATGTCCTCCAGCAAGGCTGTCGGCAGCGATGCCGGTGGGTTTGTGCTGTGGGCACGTCAGCTGGAAGCACCATCAGAAACCACAGAGCAGCATCCACGTGACCCAGTACTGACCACTGCTGCCAGCACAGGCTGGTCCAAAACAAGACCTGGTGGCACACAAGGCTCCAGGCCACCCAGCCTGCCATGAGCTGACAGAGGGTGGCCTGTGGATGGGCTTTGCTGTCCACTCCTTACGCGTGGTCAGTCACTTGGCTGGTGGCCGCGTTGCTGCCGAGCCCTTTCCAGGCACGGAAGCTGAAGAAGGTGCTCACCCCGTAGGTGATCATAGTGAGGCAGGCGAAGAACTGGAAGAGGAGCACAGCCCACATGTAAGTGCAGTGGCTGCTGCAGCCCCTCAGCCCTCAGCTGCCCTGCAGTACTTACGGAGGCTGCAGCTCTCCGGTTGTAATCCCACTGCCGCCAGGACGTTGGCTGGACAGCGGCCGCACACGTGACGAAGGCAGTGATGTACAGCACGGTTGCTGTGGCATGGAAGATCATCAGCTGGGAAAGGCAAAGAGGAGCTCGTGAGGTCTGGGCTCAGGCTTGTGCACACTGGGATGAAGGATGAACAAAAGGTTCACATTCGTCCCTATTCCCAGGAGAACCAGAGTGAAAGAGCCCAGCTCCTCACACTGAGAGCAAATGTCAGGTTAACATCACATCAAATGCTCCCCAGGTTGTGCTGACAGGGTTCTGCTTGGCACCACAACTGCAGCAGTGACGTGGTGTCTGTAACTGGACTGACACAGGACTCTCTGTTTTGAACATTTTCTAACAAATTGAGGGGCAGATTGAAACAATGTCATTATGCAAAGTGCAGGAGACTTTGCTCCATCACAACAGGACAGGCTGAAACCTTGGTCCTCTCAGACTATCTCACTATGATGTTTTCCCACTTGGGACCCTCCCTCACTCCCTCTTGGCTACGCACCACAAGGGGCCAGGGGATCATGTAGAACTTCTGCTGAAGCTGCAGGAGGTAAGTCACGAAGAAAAGGACTGTTAGTATCCAGAAGAAGAGGGACACAAACATCACCCAGCCATATGCCGCATGGAGGTGGTACGTTGTGGCGGCGATGAGAGACCACACCAGTAAGCCAAGCACCTGTGGGGTGAAACAGGCAAAGTGTTGAGGGGCTGGTTGTGCAGGTGGAACACAAGCTCAGGCTCACCAGCACCAGCAGCAGTTGGGTCCCAGGGAAGCAGGGACGCGCTGGGGAGGAGAAGGGCTCTTTGGAAAGCTGCCCTGCCCCTGCGTAAGCTCATTGTCAGGGAATAAACACAACAGCCTTTGTCCTGCCTGCGTACAACGCCCTGGTGCTCTGCTGCCCCGACAATGCCTCCTTGTCTGTCACATCTATTTCTAACACTCGTGATCCCAAAATATGTGATGGGCAGAAATATGTATGGGGGGCTCCTCCAGGAACAGGAGGTGGCATGTGTGAGCTGCCCTGCTCCGGCTGCTGGGGGGAAAAGCAAGAGCCCTTAGGAGAGAAGCTTTGGGGAGCAGTGGGTCTCAGTGGATGGAAGCTGGGTGAATGTGTTTAATGGTATGGCCTGAGCAAGGGCGTGCAGAGGTGGGACCAGCTGCAGGGTTGAAGGGTTCCTTTGCTGGCCTTGGTTCCATCTCTCTTTCCTGACGCTCCTGCAGCACCTTCCCGACCCCCTCCCTGAGCATTTGTTCCTGTGTCACAACCGGCTCAGCCATGCCCAGGGGTTGGAATCTGGAGCCAGGTCTATGCCAGTTGTTTCAGAGTGGCACATCCCTGGCTGCCCTCCCAATGCTGCCCCGGGGAGAGGGGACAAGCAAACAGGTTCTCACCCAGTGGAGCAGCACTGTGGGCAAACCTGGGGTCAGGTCACACATGGCCCTGTATGCAGCTGAACACCCACCCGTGTGCACTCACGTGGCACCCTGAGGTCCCAGGAGAGAGCAGCAGCAGGGGTTTATTCTGTGGTTGCCTCTGATGCTGAAGCAATGGAGAGGTGATGATGCTGCTCAATGCAAAAACCCTTGGGCTCGTCTGGGAGCGGCAACCAAAGCCGGAGAGGACAACCAGGAAGGCTGAGAGAGCCCAGGGAGCACGAGAGCCCCGTGAGCGACCTCAGCACACCTGAGCTGGGGACACCGTGCTCCACATAACCCCCCCGACCCGCGGCTGTGCCCACCTGGATCAGCCCGTGCCTGGCACTGATCAGTTACAGAGCAGAGTTACAATTGGCAAAGGGTGTGAGCACTAGAAGCCGAATTTGCCTCCGGCTTTAGAGAGGGAAGGAGGAGAGAGGGGTCTGCGGTGTCTCAGGGTTAAGGATTAACTAGAGTTAGAAAGCAGGGACGGGATCGGAGCGGCAGCCGAAGGTGATGACCATCACCAAAGAAGCGATGCCCTCCCGCCCCGTGCTCCCACCGCGGTACTCACGGCCTGGGCGCC